TATGAGAAGAGAGGAATGACTAAAAAGAGCCCACCTTCAGAAGATTTGGGGAAAGAAAGTTTTGACGAGAGAGAGAGAGGAATAGAAAAGAAAGTGCCTGGGGAGGCATGAAATGAGCGAGGCATCTTCCAGGGATGCTAAAATGGCCAGCTGTTCTGGAACCATCAACAGCAAATAAATACTTTGCTTGAAACACAGACGTGTGCTCAAAGAGCCAGCTGAAGAATGCATGATTTTTCCTTTCCTGTTGAACCAGAACCGTGACATCAATATGATGCATATTTGTCTGTGTTTGCATGGGCACAAATCTCATTGGCAGTTCTGGTAAATAAATGCAGGACCAGTTGGGACCTCCCTGTCGCCTATCCCAAGTGTGAACTCAGCCTCTGATAACATTGTTTTGTCACTTTTCACTCCCACCAGCAATGAAGACAAATAAATGGCTTCCTGACAAATGGCCCCCCGCTTTCCAGGGCCTGGAGTTCTGAAGGAAGGAGACGTGAGCCTGGCCACATGTCTGGAATGAGCTCCTTGCAGGGTTCATGGCCGTGGGCTCCCTGGGCTGCCTCACAAGGAGCGACCACGTTATTCTGAAAAATTAGATTTTTCTTGCAGCCCATTAAAATTTCAAAAGGCTCATGAAATGAATTCCAGTACAACAATATGTCATCGTAATTTGCCATAGAAAATACATGATCGTAGCCTTCATTGAGATTTAAAGTGAAAAATACCCTGTTTTGTCTGCAGAGAGCCACAGTATCCTGGAAAAGGCTAACATATCTCCTTTCTGGATGCTTACCCTGGGAATAACAATTGACTAGTATACCCCCAAATTCACATCCATCCAGAACCTCCAAATATGACTTTATTTGGAAATAAGGCCTTTGCAGAGGTGAGTAGTTAAAATAAGGTCATATTGGATTAGGGTGGCCCTAAATCCAGTGACTGGGATCTGCATAAGAGAAAGTGGAGAAAGATTCAACACGGACTCTCAATCAGGGAAGAAGTCATGTGAAGACGGAAGCAGGCATGGAGTGACATAGCTATTAGCCAAGGAATGCCAATGATGAATGGCAGCCGTGAGGAGACAGGAAGAGGCAAGGATTGTTCCCCAGAGCACTCAGAAGGAGCTTGGCCCCAGCAATACCTTGACCTCAGACTCTCGTCCTCTAGAGCTGTGAGAGAGGCAATTGCTGTTGTTTGATGCCACATGCACACGCGCGCACACACACACACTCACTGACAGACACCATAGGAACTAATGCTACAGCCACAGCCACCTGAGCCCTGGCACAAGAGGAGAGGGAGCAGCTCAGGGAGACAGTACAGGTGATGGGAACCAAGAGTGCCCACATTAGCAAAGCAGAAAACTGAGTAGTTATTGGATGAATTTGACTACCATCCATTTGGGAACAGGAACTTGGACTGTACAGTGGTTAACAGTTGGGGCTTTGGGTCAGGCACAGTGGCACATGCCTTTAATCTCAGCTCAGAAGCAGCCTCAGGAATAGCAAGGCGCTAAGCAACTAACTCAGTGAGACTCTGTCTCTAAATAAAATACAAAATATAGGGCTGGGGATGTGGCTCAGTGGTTGAGTGCCCCTGAGTTCAATTCCTGGTACAAAAAAAAAAAAAAAAAAAGTTGGAGCTTTGGAATCAGAAAGTCTGCATTGAATCCCAGCTCTGTCATTTATAGTGTGCAAGTTACTAGGCCTCTCTAGGTCTCATCATTTCATGGATAAAATGAGGACTTATCTTAAGGCAGTTGTAGGAACTGGGGAACCTCAAAAGAGCCTGGCAAGTGGCCGTCCCACTGTCAGCCCCCAGAGCGCTGCTGCGCCTGCACCAGGGCCACCACTCCTGCCTTTGAAATGCTTCCTGACCCTTGGGTGGTTTTATTCAAATGTGCACTTGACATCTGTCCCTCAACTATGCTCAGGAACTTAGCAGGGACAATCCATAAACTAAAAGAACTAAATCTTCACTGATTCTGAACATCAAAGAGTTTTGCTTTATCCATAGTAAGTCCAGACTCCCCAAGATATATTGTTGAACAATGTCTTGCCTGTCCCAAGATATCAATATTTTTTTCTAAAATAATGGGTTTTAAGAATCGTAGTTGTTCTAATACTTATGGAGAGCTCACCACCTGCCAGGTACTTCCCAAATGTGATTTCACTTAGACCTTACAACAGCTCTGAAAACTAAGCTAAAATAGTCCTGTTAACACTGAGGAGCACGCTGAGGCTCAGAGAACTTCTGAGAACTCAGGACTAACTCCAAATTAAAGTGGGAGATAAAAGCAATGTTGGGCTTTGAATATGTAACAATATATGAATATGTAACAATGAATCCCATTATGTATAATTATAACAGATGAATAAAAATAGGGGGTAAATACGTTTTTTTCCTTAAAGATTTATTCCTTGAAGAAAAATAATGCCACTGAAAAATATGATAAAAATAAAAGTTTCTGTTGTGGGATGACTAAATAAATAAATTAATGCACTGTTGGGGAAAGGAATGCAGGAGGTGGGACATTGCGACACATGCTCAGCTTCTCAAAAGGCAGAAATAAATACAGTGCTCCCTCGTCATCCTTGGACATCCCTGGTTCCAGGATCCCTTATGGATACCCAAATCCTCAGATTCTCAAGTGTCTTATGTAAGATGTCATGTGTTTGCATGTAAACTGTACACATCTTCCCATAAACTTTAAATCACATCTAGGTTACTTATGATACCTAGGGCAATGGAAATGCTATGTAAATCATTGTTACACTGTACTTTCTAGGGGATGATGACCAAAAGGAAGTCTGTATCTTTTCAGTATACATGCAATTTTTTTTCTAAATATTTTCAAACCCTGATGGGTTGAATCCACAAATGCAGAGCCCCTAGAGGCAGATGGCCAAGAGTCTACACAGAAGTGTCAGAAGTGAGTATCAGGATCCTGCCTGGGTTCTAGTCTGGGTCTCACCATCACCCAATGGGGCAAGGCACCATCTCTCTGGTCCTCAGTTTTCTTCCTGTGAGGCAAAGGATGTGGACTAAATGATCTCTAAAAGTGATTTCAGTGCCAAGATTTTACAAGATGTAGCATCATTCATGTTGGTCTTTTTAAGTAATTTGATGTAGGGGCAAAAAAAAAAATAAAAAGATTAAAGGTGCTGAGTCCAGATATTTCCAAACAAATCCATAATATTTATAATAGAGTATTGTAATTTTAGTTTTCAGAACACCCATTCTACTCCTTATTTATGAAGTTAGCTCATATCAAAACAAAATTGGGGCATTTTCACTAAAATCGTGTTTTATTTTTATGTAGAAAAGTTTGAGTAATGATGAAAATAAAAATAATAATGCTTCAAGTTTAAATAGTACCTTTGATCTGAGGCCTTCCTGTATGATATTTTTATAGGCCATGCCTGTTATTATTTTGTGGTAGGTCATGTTCAAGTACTAGGATGTCTAGACCACTGGTATTATGGGAGCTCTTCAAAGTAACTCATGACATTCAATAATAAACTCAGCTTTTTGCTTCAATTGTCCCTTACATCCAGGAAGTGTTAAACTCTTTAGTCTTAAGGGATGTTTCCTCACACTGTGTATTTTATAGACAGAAAAACTGAATCAAGAGAGAATCTCAAGAAAAATCCACCATGGCTAAGCGTAATGTTTACTAGTAATTGTAGCAAGCCTTTATCTGGTGTTTGCTCTGCTCTGGGTATTATTCTAAGTGCCTTAAAAGTGGGAACTCACTTAAGCCTCACAACTCTATGAGGTAGGTTGTGACATCTCAGTTTTACAAAGAGGAAACTAATGCCCAGGGAAGAGAAGTAACCCAGTTCAAAGACTGTGCACTAGTCACCACAGGGCTGGGACTTGACTCGGGATTCCACCATGATCACCACCCTCACGCGGGGAAACTGAGTCCAGAGAAGTTCAGTTACTCAAACGTTTGCGAATAATTCCCGTGCCATCACTACCCCATGGAAACATTTCATGAGCTTGTACACTCCAAGAGGAAACACACAGCTCTCTATTAGCATTTGTGATTGGCTCCAACAACCCACATTGTTCATCCTTAGGGAGTACCATGCTCAAGATGTCCCTAGACCGAATTACTCTTTAGCACCCAATGATAAATGCTTCAGCTGTCAGATACCTGATCCTTATATCTTATTAATATATGCAGCAAGAAAGAGCAGAGTTTATGCTAGTCTTTATTTCTGAGCTGATTCTCACATTAAATATTTCATATCCTGCCAACTTCTTATCCAATCTCTTGCAAAAATCTACCATTTTCATTGTGTATTCATGTATTATAAGAAATATCTGCAGAAGTCCTAAATTAAATCCATTATGAACTATAAAAAACTATTATTTTATTTCTTAGAATTATTCTAGGTCACCTTGGTTAAAATTGCTATCACGTGTGAAATGTCTGAAATCTCTTGACTCAGAGCATGCTGGTTAAAGTTGATTTTTAAGTGAGTTGTCATACATTACCTTTCTCCTCTGATGTCAACTCTCGCTCAGGGAAAACAGACTCCATTCTCCCCAGGGGAAAAAAAAAAGTGGAATAAACTTCAAAGCTGATGTGACTGGCACTAAGGATCAGTGATAGTGGCTGCTGTATAATTCCTGAGCTCTGGATCACTTAATTTTTAAAAAATATATGTGGTCATGTATTTCTTTATTCTGTATCTTGCTCAACAAATGGATTAAAAGTTCAAGCTTTTGTAAGATACGTGCCTAAGAATTCTTATCTTCCAAGTGACAGATGTATGCGTGGATATGGGCAAAGTTTTTCTCCTATTTCTGATCTACCTCTGTTCTCCAGCAATTAGGTCTTAGATCCAAGATAGGAATATCACTTTCAGGAGAACCCTTTCCTACTCCCCACTCCCACCAATTTCCTAGGGATTTCTTCAAGGGAAGCTTGGACATTCATTTAAAACTGTCAGGCTTAAGCACTAAAAAATAAGGAGGAGGTATTTATGGTGGGAAAATTCGCTTTCTCTCTCATTCATTTGCTTTTATTATGGACGAGCCTGTGACCCCCCACTGTCGCCTCAGCTTCCAAAAAGGTTGACTTCGTTTTTGAGGCATTCTGAGTTATCAAAGAGCACAAGGACAAGGAGGGGTCAGGGGATGAGGGGGTGGACACGCAGGGCCCGGCCATGTCAGAAGCATTCTTTCCAAAGGAAACCAGGCTAAAAAGCTGATAAAACCCCAATCTCTTTTCACAGCTTGCCTTCAGAGCCCCTTAATGCGACTCCCTCGTCTGTTCATCAGCACTTTATGAGAAAATAAACAAAAAACACGGCCTGTTTCCTCATTGTCAGCACCTCAGAACACTTCCTGCCAGGGAGGCCAGCACCCCACCCTAGGAGTCAGGGCTCCCTCTCTTTCTGCTTGACTTTTAAAGGCCCATTTTCTAAGCCAAACTCCAAGGGCCTATGGAATCTGAAGCTCCCCCCTGGACACGATGTCAGACTTCGGCACTCTGCAGGGCATACAGGCCAGCTCCTCTAGAAGAATCAGTTAAGTGAGTTCCACTGAGATCCTGAAGGTTGCTTCCCTTTGTCTATTTTTATTTTATTTTTAGGAAGAAAGTGGCCCTAGAAAAAAAAGAGAAACATTTAAAATGACCTTTGTATCAAATCACCAGTTCTGGGAGGTATTGAATGTTCTATAATTTGTAACATTTTTAAATCAGTCCCATCTTTCCAGATTTTTCACTAAACCTGACTGCTTCAGAAAGAAACAATAATCATGGCACATATAAAACTAGAGGGCTACAGCCCCTATGTTTCAATTTCCAGCTGAAAGGCAGGGGATGGAGCTCAGTGGTAGGGTGCTTGCCCAGCGTGTGCAAGGCCCTGGGTTCTGACCCTAGCACCATGAGGGTTGCTGGTGGAAGTCTATTCCCATCTGGTTCAGTGGTGGCCTGAGATAGGTCTAGTGAGATCGGTCCATGTCCCTTGTTGAGAAGATGCAAACAATTTGAATAGGGAACGTGGGGACACAGAGTCTAGCTGGGGACACAGTGGAGATGCTGCCCAGATGTGATCAGGTTTCCGTTGCTCAAAGGTATGTTGGGCACTCACCATGCCAACTTCTAGGGATCTGGCATTTACAATATACACATTAGGGCTGGGGATGCGTCTCAAGAGGCCAAGAAATTGCCTAGCAGGCTTGAGGTCTTGGGTATCATCCCAGCACAGCAAAAAAAAAAATTAAAATTAAAAGAAAAAGAACAAACCAAGAAACACATTGGTATGGAGTAGGAATAAGAGCACAGGCTCTGGAGCCTGACTTTGAGAGTCCACAGTGTCACTCAGGCCCTTGCCATCTCTGAGACCTCAGACAAATCACTTAGACTCTCCAAGCCTGGCATGCGCCTCTCCAGGGGTTATGACCACTGAGTGGACTGGTACATGTGAAGAGCAGAGGCCCACCACATTGGGTTCAAGAAATGTCAAATATCAGATGACATTATGGGGTTCCCATATTTCTTACACTTTGCAGATTTGGTTACATCATGTGCATATGTGAATATGTAACAACAAATCCTGCTATTATGTATAATTATAAGGCACCAACAAAAATATGGAAAAAAATTAAAGTGATTTTACTTTTGTATAACTAATTAAAACAAATTTCAAAAATTAATAATAATTTTTAAGAACTAAAAATAAATAAATAAGAGAAAGAGAACATAGACACGCAGGAGAAAATAACTACTAAGGTATTGGCTAAGAAGCAGAATATCTCTCTAAGTTATATCTGTCTTAGAACCCAAGAAATAACCAAACAAAGAAAACTCTGGCATGAGCCCAGGACAGCAGCATCCTTTGGGACCAACATCTGAGGAAAATAGTGAACTTTATCACTGACTCTGTAATTTGTGATCTTGGGCATGTAACCTTCTAGTGTTCTCATGGAGGAGGGGAAAAAAATGAAGGGTTGAACTAAAAGGTGTCAGAGATTTCTGAGAGGTCCAATTCACCCTACCATTCTGATTCTATTAATGCATTGCACTGTTTGAAGTTAAATAGAACCAGGCAGTGAGGACAATCACCCCCTCAGTCTAGGGTAGACAATTTAATACTGTATCACTTAGATGCCTATAAATACACTGTTGATAGAAGTCTCTCCATCTTGTTTCCCTAGCTACATTAACAACTCTTTGAGTTCAGGGACCATGCATCCTTTTTCTTCTTCCTCGTTATCCTTGGTGTAGCATTAAATGTATAGCAGCCACGAATAATGTGCTAAATAGAGCCAAATTCCACAACCTTATATATCCAACCATATATGGTTTGCTAATCATTTTGTGTAGTTGTTGACCAATCACAGCACCTATCCCAAAACAGGTATCAATGACACCAGCCAGACATATGACTCACTAAAGCATATTTTTACTCTTTGATTCATTCACAAATATTCATATAACAGCTATAATGTGCTAAGCACTGTGTGGGTTGCTAGGGACACTCTATGCCATAGTCACAACCCTTGAAGATCCACACGCACAAACTGTGTACCAATGGAGTCTAACTAGAAATTGAACCAGCTCACCAACCCTTTTTCTCATAAACCATGCCTCCCCTTACTGATGAAGGGGTTTCACAGTTCATCCTTGGAGTTTTATTGAGATATTATCATGTTGACAGATGTGACATTGCTAAGTTTTAAAACAACACACATTTACTAGGTTTTGTACAGATATCAAACCTAAAGTGTTTACCGAATAACATTTTGGTGTTTCTGAGAAGTGGAAGTAATCTACTTTAGATTGGTCACTCCTCTTCCTAGAAGCCTTCTGAACTTAACATTTCCTGTTGCTGTTTCTGGTCTTAATGCACATCAGTGAACCACTCTGTGGTCTGTAGATTTTCTGTAAACCAATTGACAGGTATCCAACACAGACCATGTGCAGACGTTTCTCTGCCCCTATCGCTGCCCTCAGATGATGCTGTGAAAAGTAAAAGTTCATCAGATGTTGACGGCGTCCGTGGTTGAGCCGCGCTGTGAATTCTTAAGGCTGAAGGACTGACTGTGATTTATCACTCCTCTCGCTTATCAGCCATAGAGTGACTTTCCTCCATTTGAACAGCAGCCTGCTTCCCTCCTATGGCTCCATCCCTGTTGCCAAGGCTCTGTAAATGCTAATCAGGAGATAGAGGACACGCTGTGATCTTGTAAAGTGCTCACCCAGCAATTCGGGAAAAACAGAGTGCAAATGTCACACCTGGATACCTGCATTCACAGGGTCAAGGTTCGGTACAGAAATGACCACCGTCAAGGCTGCGTCTGCCACAGCAAAGAGACATGGAATAGTTAAAAATTCTTCTGTAAATTCCGGATGTATTTAAAATAATAATAATGAAGCCATTACATTTCTATCAGTGACTTCTTGTGGCCAGAAGCAAAAAAAAAAAAAAAAAAAAAAAAAAAAGGAAGGAGATTGAAATTATAAAGCTCATAAACCTAAGCCCAACATGTAAAGACAAATCCTGGTTCTATGAAAATCTCCAAGGTAAAAATACATGAAAGTTTCCCACCAATGTGCATACTGGCATTGGGTGCCTATTTAGTAAATATGACCATTAATGATATTATGTTGGACAGTCTTTTTTAGAAAGCTGCTGTAGTTTAGTGAATAGAAGAATCCACTTGGAATTAGAAGTCTTTGTTTGATTCACTGTTTATTGAGAATCTTCCTGACTTCACCACAAATACCATGAGCAAAGATTATAAGATCATACTTCTAAATAAAAGTCTTCGGTGAAAGAATCCATTATCCAGCTCTTTTTAAGGCTCTGAGTTATCAGGGTTTTTATAAGAACTATAAAAGATAATCAATCAACAAATTATTTCACTTGAAAGATAATAGAGAGCTGGGCACGTTGGCGCACGCCTGTAATCCCAGAGGCTCAGGAGGCTGAGACAGGAGGATTGTGAGTTCAAAGGCAGTCTCAGCAAAAGCAAGATACTAAGCAACTCAGTGAGACCCTGTCTCTAGATAAAATACAAAATAGGACTGGGAATGTGGTCAGTGGTTGAGTGCCCCTGAATTCAGTTCCCAGTACCAAAAGAAAGATGATTGAGAATTCTGTCTGATGACTCTAAAAGAATCACATGCTGATTTCAGATATATTCAGTGTGTCATAGAGCCTCAGCATCCTCAAGAGGTCACGAAATGAAGTAGAATCTGGCAAGTATCCACATATAAGTAAGTCAAGCTAAACAGAACAATTCATGTTCCACCTGAGTCAAGCAGGGACTCAGAAGGGACTTGAAACTGTGTGAGAATCAACATGAGATGACTCCAGAAAGAAACAACCAAGATAAGATGCAAGTTGAGCAGGGATTACAAAATCAAAATTAACCCAGCACCCTTCAGATTCTGGTCATTGTGATTCAGCACAACTTTGCTTGAATTTTTATTCATTAAACATCAGCCTGGTTTGAGCATTAATTGCAAAGGGTCAAGTTCAGATACAAAAAGCACAGGCGTGCAAGTAGATACAACCTGACGTGTTTATCTTTTCAGGGCACACTTTCTGCCGCAGGCGTGTGCCAGACGTAGCAGCAGCTGTAGGAAGTTGTTTATCTACACTCTTGACCTTTGTAAAGTGTTAGGAGATGGTAAAAATCATGTTTTTAAATCACAGCCATCTTCATTCAAACTAGCCACTTCTTAGTATCAGTCAGAACACACCAATGAAGGTCTCAGGAGGTCAAGGAGATGAGATTGTGCCCCAGTGATAACTATAAAATCATACCTATGCCATGATTCCCCATGCCACAGCTTCTCTCTGCTAATTTCCACATACACTTCTCCCATTCAACATTCAGAAAACACTTATTGAACTTATACTGTGTGCGGGGCACCGTTAAAAAGTACTAGACAAAGGAATTCTCATACCCATAATGTTTGGGTCTTGTCTGACTTTTTTGTAAATGTCAGTTGTTCTTGGCAAATTTATCCTTTAAATTTTCAAAATATACTAATGGTCCCAGGAGAATAGGTGTTCAAATTCTTTAGGGTGTCTTATTAAGAAAACATTACATAGGGAATTCATAGACAAGCATATAAATTTAGAAATGGCATTCTTCTTGCAAGAGAAGAGAGCTTTGGCCCAGCGTCAGGGTTACACAGCTTCTGTTCTGATGGGTTCCCAACTCCTGCCTTCAGGGATTACACTAAATGCAAGTGGGATTGATCTATCAACCTAATCACTCATGAGAAATAATAACAATGTCATTAGCTAAGTTTCCAAAACAACCCAGTTCCTGCTTGAAAGTCAATCCCTAAGAAGCATGCTAAGCCTGACTTTTGTTATGACATTCGGATGAAGTCACAAAGGTTCCTTTGGTCTTTCTCTGTCAACGTCAATGTCCTCCGGGGAATCCAGTGTGGTGAAATCAAAAGACAAAGAGGAACATGTTGAGGTCTCCAAAGAGAAAGATATAAACAATAATTATTTTTAAGATACCCAGGTAGTTTCTCATTTGGGCCCAGAAATAATTAGAAAACATTGTATTTCTTTCCCCTGAAAGGTCAGCATGCAATCTAAATCAAAATGGGTTCTCGCATGTCTTTGAGTCATGTTTGTTGATTTGCCAGACTAGTAACCTGACAAAATATTTGTAAACCTAAACATTCACACTTAGCTGTATCTGAGTATATTTATGGGATTCAGTTACAGAGGATGGGAGCCCTGAATAAAAGAGCTGATATGAAATTTTAATCCTCTTTAAAATGTGTGCTCATTGACTCTGTGTGTGTGTGTGTGTGTGTGTGTATGTGTGTGTGTGTGTGTGTGTCTGTCCCCATTTGCTAGGAATACCAAGTGATATATAGGGCTTTTGTCTTCAAGGGGTTCTTAATCTAGTTGTCCATTTGTCATGACTTTATCTGGCAATCTCTGTATAATCCAAGGGCATTCATTCATTGGGCAGTGACATGAGAAAAGATTCAAAATTTTCCCTCCTACAGCTGGCCCTCTCATTTTCCCATCAGTACCCAACCTGAAGTTAGCCTTTAAACTCCCTGGGCCTCAGGTTTTCACTATCACATCAACTTGCCTTAGAGAGCCGACAGAAGCCTTTCCAAATAAAAATGACCAACAACCTGTTAGACTGATTTTCCAGCCATGAAAATCACATATACTCAGAATTTGGGGGATTTCCTACGGCAGAGCTAAAAGAAACATGAAAATATTTGCAGCTGCCAAAGAACACTTAATCATCCGACAAATATGACCTAGACGTCCACTTTGTGCTAGTTTCTGTGACAGCAAATGGCTTCCAAATGTCCTTAGTCACTGCAGAGCCATGGTGAATTATGATGACCAAGTTTTGGCCAGGATCATAGAAAAAAAACAGCTCAGGTCTCTTTCCTAAGACAATCTCCTTAGGATTCCTGTGAGACTGCATTGTTGGGGAAAGCCTAGAGTGTTTCAGAAGACGATTGCAGGCACACTAAAGCATACGTATGTGATTCAGGAAAAACACACATGGTCTAGCCAACACATAAAATTACGCTTCACGGTAATGATAAAGAATTCCTTTTAGTCACTCATGGTGGCACACATCTGCAAACCCAGTGTCTCAGGAGGCTGAGGCAGGAGGATCACAAGTTTAAAGCCAGCCTCAGCAACTTATCAAGTCCCTAAACAACTCAATGAGACCCTGTCACAAAATAAAAAAATAAAAAGGGCTGGGGAGGTGCCTCAGTGATTAAGCAACCCTTGGGCTCAATCCCTGGTCCCAATATATATATATTTTATATGTATTAGAAAAATATGTAAAAAAATATATAAATTTAAAATATTTTTTAAATCCTTTTTTTTCTTTTAAACAAACCAGGATGATTTGGATATATGATTCCAGTGGGCTCCCCAAGGGTTCATGTGTTAGAGGCTTCATCCCCAATGTGGTAAAGTTAAGAAGTGGTGAGATTTTAAGAGGTAGGGTCCAGGGGGAAGTCTTTAGGTCATTCGGGAAGATGTCCTCAGAAGGGATTGAGGTAGTTCTCTTAGGACTCCTGAATTGCTCCCTGTGAGGCCAAGTTATTATAAGATCCTGGGGCTCACCCCTGAATAGCTCTCTGGCTTCCTGCCTGGGCTTTTCTCACCTGCAGCCCTGCCATTATGACACCATTGCTAATGAGACCCTCAAAAGAGCTGAGCTGCTGCTATTGCCATGCCCTCAAGCCTCTAGACATGTGTACTAAATTAACCTCTTTTCTTTAAAAAACTTACCCAGCCTTAGGTATTTAATTACAGTAACAGAAAATTGACTAACACACACAAAAAAATATGCACTTATACGAATTTTCTAAATTTTAAGTAGTCACCTTGGAAAGTCATATACTTATTCCATTGACGCTTTCTTTGTGCTCTTTTGGAAAGTCTCTTCATACCATCCACAGAGCTAGTTGTGAAGAAAAAAAACTAATCTCTTCACTGAGAGGAACCTTTAAAAGTAGTCAAAATGCTATTACTTGGTTTATTTAACGACGTTAATGGTGGACAGTGGAGCTATTTTTAAAAGGCAAATTCACTTTCAAAGTTGAAAATGTACCACCTTTGAAAAATCTTGAAAAGTATGTGTCACTAAAAATCATTACAAAGGGGGTTCTTTAAGACTTCTTCAATTATCAGCATCACTGGATTTAGCTTAACATTCCCAAAGGTAAAATCTCCAAAAAGCTGTCCACATTCGTTTATTTGTATAATTAACTCTTTGGGCCAAGCTGTAATCTTGAAGTTGTAGTGGCAATTTTGATATGAAGGAATATCATAATGAAAAGTATAAAAAATCATAATCACATTGTTCATGATAGAGAAAAAACATTTACAAGAAATCGATTAAATGAATTATAGTATTAATTTAAACATTGGATAAAATACCGCACAGCCATCTGTAATGGTACAATCAGGGACAGGAAACATATGAACAATTTGCAGCAATGAAACTTCTAAAATTTGTATGAAATATTTCATGTGCATGTTCATTTGTATTAGGAAAGAGACTATAACTTTACTATAATGTGCTGTAACAAAAAAAAGTTAAGAAATCACAAAGTAGAAGAATATTTAATGTGAAGGGGAAATGTTCAAGTTATATTTCTGAGTGAAAAGGCATAATATAAAAGAGCAGGCACAGTATACTGCATTTAAGATAATTTTATGTATGCTTCGTAAACAGTACTGGAAAAAAAAATACCCCAGGATGTTATCAAGAATAATCATCAAATGGGAGTTTTCTACAATGCATGTATTATTTTCCACAAAGGAGAAAAATAGTAAAAAATTAGGTTGCAAAAAATATTGGAAGAGGTATCAGCCCAGTTGGAAGTAATTTCCAACCATAGTCAACTGATCCCCATTTGTTACTAATAGTAACTGTTACAGTTCTAGTAATTGTAATGATATTCATAATAAGCTACTACATAAAACCCTATGCCAATGATCCTTCTGTGATTTGATTGGGCCTGGTATATGTCTCATAAGTCAGTTAACTGAATTGATTGATGTATTCATTTAATGTGAATTTAGTTGACCATGAATTGATCCCTGTTAATCAGTTCATCCAAGGGTTGGAAGAAAATCAAGTGTCTGAACTAACAAGATTTAAAAAAAAAAAAATTGTATCTGTGGTTCTCTAATTATGATGCCTTAAACTTGACAAAAATGTGAGATAGCTACATAAAATAACGGTAGCCTCCCCATAAATTAGGTTTATGGATAGATTATCTTCATTTTAAAAGAATTTTTCTTTTCATAACTCTTTCTTAAAATGTAAGTATTGACAATCACCTGTTGGCAAATGTTGGCAGCTGAGAAAACTGCAAATAAATATAAACCAATGATACTTAGTTCAATGCTTGGGGGTGTTTTTCTTTTTGTTGTTGTTGTTTGTTTTTGTTTTTACAGATGATTGTGCTTAAGGTTGTACATCAGTTTGGGTCCTCCAAGGTCAAAGTGCTGAAACAGAATTGGAAATATAATAGATTTACTGGGGGAAACGCTTAAAAAGGACAAGAGCCTTCAGACTCTACCCCTGCTGTCCTTTCCAGTCATTAGCTGGGAGAAGTTATCCTGAGTGTGAACTCCAAGGCAGAACCCGAAAGGTGCAACCAACCACTGGCAGCTGACTACAGCTTCCTGTCCTCCCAGAACACTCTCTCTCTCTCTCTCTCTCTCTCTCTCTCTCTCTCTCTCTCTCTCTCTCTCTCTCTCTCCTTTCCCCTCCACGCTGGAGATGGAAATCAGGCCTTCATGTATGCCAGGCAAGAGCTGGACAGCTGAGCTGCAGCCCCAGCCTCACACATCCTCCCTGGATTGGAGCAGCACATTTGCACCACTACCGCAGGGCCCTCATCTCATTTCATACATGTAGGCTTATTTTGCTACTAAAATTATTCTTGATCCTAGCTTGGAATTAAATATTCCATTCTTCTCTTGTGTGCTAGGAAGAGTATAATGTTCTTAACTTCAGTCTACAAAGAGGACCATGATTTTCCGGTGTGCGGTCACTTTATTTATAATAACAAGTGAAAATCCCTGGTGCATAGAAAGCGCTGAAGACGTGGTTTTTGTTTTTGTTTTTGTTTTTGTTTTAATGGAAAACAACAAACCTAGCAGATACTGTCTCGGCTAGCTTACTTTACCTGGGAAAGTTACATAAACTGTCGGAGCCTCAGTTGCCTCATCTATAAACCTTTCTTCCTGTGGCACTTAGTACTGAGATGATTCAATGCAACAATATGAACAGAGCATTTTTTTTCCAAGATCTAACAAAATCTGCAGTCTATACCATTAAAAATAATGACAGCAACGATATATTTTCTTACCTTGAAAACCTCAATTTCTTTCAGGTTTATTTTTTTGTCCTAACTTTGGAGCAAATAGAAATTGGATTTATTTTTCTTTCTTTAACCAACCAATTTACCCCTGCAAATTTATCTTTTAAAATTCCAGAGAGTTTGGGACAGGAGGCTATTGTGGGGAGGGTGGGGGTGTTAAACTAAGAAGAGATGGAAGAAATTCTAAGAAGATAGGAAGTCAATATATAGTTTAATCACTTGAAAATAGAATCACAATAAAGGAAGAGTAATGGAAACTTCAGAGGCAAATTACAACCACTGAGACGGTCATAGATAAGTCAAGCCTTTTTACATATATTTCACAGATGGACTGTTCCAGATTTCACAGGGCTAGACCAAGCTAGGTTTGTCTCTATTAGTCTCCATACTCGGGATGGGAATCCTTCCTTTTAAATTTGAAGAAGCAGAAGGAAATCTAATTGTCTTCAGTCTTTAATTTCCTGGAGTAAAATCATCATTCAAAAGGTGCTTGGTTCCAATAAGGAAATCAGTCTGATTTACAAATGCACCCAGACCATAGCTCTTTTCTCCTAATTCCAGTAACAGTCATTCCTCAGTAAGTCATAATTTTTTCAGAATCAATAGGACCTAGTTATCAACTAACTCAAACACAAAAATTTTATGGAATTAGTTATCAATTAAAAACTCTTATTATTAAAAATCTATATTTTCAGGGTTTTATATTTTAAAAAATTATAATTTTCCACCAAGCCAGATCACCAAGAATTCAAAAGTATTCAAAAGTATCGATCACCTTTGACAAGATGCAAGAGAATCCTATTAAAACCAAACATGGATAATTTTTCATGAACTCAGAAGTCAGGATTCCCTTTCATCCCAGGCCTCAATCCAAGAAATTCAACTTATCTATCTCTTTCTCACAGATAGGAAGGTAACTGACAAGATAAGAAGAATGGGCTTTGTTTCACAGAAGTGGAAAAGAAAAAGAAAGAAGAGACTACAGCTACGGAGGTTGATCCAATTTAAAACCACAAACAAACAAAACTCCTGGTAGAAGTTCTCTTGATGGATAGAAGGAGTCATTAATGGAAGGCACACATCAGTCTTTCATTCTGTTACGGGGCATTTTGGATGTGTGCGTGCCTAGCCCATGCCAGGCCCATGCAGACGGCAGTTATAGACATCTTGAAACAATCATCCCCAAAGAAACCAGTGTGGTACCAATTATTAGGATTTGGTTCCTAATAATTGAACCCCCATATAAAAATGGAATGCTTGCTACTGTAAAGTAATTCAGAATATGTCATCCCTCATACTCAGCCACACCATGTCTCAGACACTATAATTTACTTCAAGATTTCTGTATTTTAAATTTCCTTCAGGTACACATCAAAGACCTAAACTAGATATTTCTGTATCAATTCCAAATTTAAAAAGCAAAAATAAATGATGGAAAATGTCTCCCTAACTACCTCTCTGCTGCCCCTAAGTTTATAGCATGCAAAATAGTTCCAAACAGAAGTCATCTGTCTCCCCCAAAAACATGCCCTTCTGAAAAAAAAAAATAGCACAAATGGAGAGAGAGAGATGGGTTAGGTGTGCATTAGTCAGAAAACTAAGGTTTATTAGAATTATTAGAGTTTGGAATCTAACCTCTGAGTAGGGGAGGAGACGGGATGCATAGTGGTCCTGGTGTAGCTCAGGCCCCTCCTGCTCCCCCTTCCCAGCAGTAACAGAAACACAGGAGTCTAAAGCCATAGGAAAATGTTGGCTCTTCTGAAAAGCTCCATTCCTCCTGGCATTTCAACAAACCCCAGTATACGTTTGGTTTGTCTTTATGAGAAACAGCATAATACTCTGCACCACAACAAGTCATTAAGAAACCACAGAGGACCATTTAAGTGTCAATTTTCATTTTCGTCCCACTGACCCTCGTTCTTGTCATCATTATTAAGACATCAATTTCCTGTTCTGTTCCCTGGGCCCTTCAAGTAAGGAAAAGCAATTCCCTGGAGGAGACCAAAGCCAAAGCAAAACCGACAGGACATTTGAAGAAGAAATAAAAATGGGCAAATAGAAGGTCCATATCTCCTCAATTCAAAAAAAAAATAATCAAGTCAACCTAGAAAAATCTGCCCTAGAGTTGAAATCTGTGGCAGAATAGAACCAGGTGAATTTGCCACAAACTTTGCATGACCTGGCTCCAGGGTACCTGATTTCTTGATTGGGACAAAAGAAACTAAAACAAAAATTAAAAATGTGAATAATTGTTTAGTATTTTAGGAGAAACTTTGCTTGATTCCACAAACCACTAATTTTAATAATATCATCACAGTGAATGCTTAATCAATGCTTAGTAAATTCCAAGACCCATACTAAGCCCTTTATTCAGATCATCATATTTAATTCCTATGGGGAATGTACTGATTATCCCATCTTACAGATGAGGACACCGAAATCCACAAGAATGAAGAGGCTGCCACCAGATCAAGAAGCTGGTAAGTTCCAAATCCTAACTCCAAGCCCCACTGGCCAGCTGTAGCCTAGCGGGGTAGCTCTTGCCCCAAGGAGCCAGTTATCTTAGGCTCTCCTTTGCTCTCTCAAGATTCTGTGGGTTATTGGAGCTCAGCAAGGAGGGTCTTGCTCCGGTTCTTTCTTGTTCTTAAGGTTAGAGGGTGGCTGAGCCAAAAGTTATCTAAGGCTTGACTGGGCTGGGCTGAGTGTCCAAGGTGGCACACCCACAAGACTTGCAGGTGACTGTGGCTATCAGCTGGCTGCTCAGGTGAGACTGTGGTCCAAAGGGATAAGGCATGATCGCTCATGTGATGTGCCTCTCACAGCATGGCAGCTGGGTTCCGGGAGGGAATGTTCTGAGGAGGGAGCACCCTGAGAGCAGACGTCCATGAGATGCAAGCAGAGGCTGCAAGTCTTCTTATGGCCTCATTTCAGAAGACCTTCAGCATTACTTCTACCAAGCTGGTGACACTGAGTCACCAGCACAGCCACCTTTATTCTCCTTCATAGCCTCTACTTTTAGAGGCATTCTGGTATAAGTAAAAAAGATGGTGGTGGGCTTTCCAATGAACCAGGCTTGAATTCAAATTTACATGCCACAGTACCTCTAGTTAAGACTAAACCTTTTCTGATATCCTATTTCCTCCTCTAACAGGGAAAAATATCTGCTGCTATAGTTGAATATATGTGTCTCTCTCTATGTCACTGATATACATAGACATACCATGTTTAATTTACATCCTGTTCTCTAAAGTTTCTATCTCATAGAAAAAAAAACCATTTAAGTCACCTTCATATCTCATTTAATAAAGAAGGAACCCAGAAGGAATTAAATTACTTGTTAAGAACTCTATCAAATTGGCAGTCTCAAAGCTTTAGTACACATGTAAGATCTGAAACTACAAAACTATTAGAATAAAACACAGGGGAAATGCTTCCAAACACTGATATAGACAGAGATTTTGTCATAGGCAACAAAAGAGAAACTAAGACAAATGATATATCAAGCTAAGAAGTTTCTGTAAAGCAAAGGAAACAACCAACAAAGACATAACCTACAGAATGGGAGAAAATATTTACAAACGATCCACCCGACAAACTATTAATATCTGGAATACATAAGAAACACAAACAACTCAAAATAATAATAATATAATAATAATACTAATAATGGTAAAAATCCCCTTTAAAAATGGACAAAGATCTCAACAGATATTTTTCAAAAGAAGACATGTGTATGGCCAGTAAGTATATGAAAAAAATGCAGAAAAAGGGCAAGTCGTGTATTACTGGTGGGATGTAAATTAGCATAGCCATCATGGAAAAGAATATGGAAATTCCTCAGAAAAATGGAATCTAGAATTACCATAAGATCCAACAATCCCTGTACCAGTATGTACCCAAAGGAAATGAAATCATAATAGCTGTGTTAGTAAACTTTGCATTGCTGTGGCCAAAATACTCAAGAAGAACAACTGAGAGGAGGAAAAGTTTACTATGGCTCATGGTTTCAGAGTTTAGTCCATGGTCAGCCAAGTCCATTACTCTGGGCACAAAGTGAGGCAGAACATCATGGCAGAAGAGCATGGTGGAATGGCACTGCTCTATTCATGGCAACAGGAAGCAGAGGGAAAGAAAAGGGAAGGGGTCCCGGGAGGATGAACCCGTAGAGGGCACACCCTCAATGACCCATCACCTCTAGCTTCATCCCTCCCACCTACAGTTCCACCCATTCCCTTCAAACTAGGATGGACTGATTAGGTTACTGTTCTCAAAATCCAATCATTTTACCTCCAAATATTCCCACAGTAACACAGGAGCTTTTGGAGGATACTTCAAATAGAAGCCAAAACTATACCAAAGACAAGCCTGCATGCCTATGCTTATTGCAACAGTATTCACAATAGCCAAGATATGAAATCAATCTGGATGTCCATTTATGGAGGAATGGATTTTTTAAGTGGTATATATACACAATAGGATATTATTCATCTGTAAAAAGGGATGAAATCTTGCCATTTGAGGTAACATGAATGGAACTGGAGAACACTATGTTAATGTCAAAGACATAAAAAAACAAATACCACTTGTTCTCACACAATTGTGAAAGTTAAATTGTTGACCACATAGAAGCAGAAAGTAGAATAGAGGTCAGTAAAGGTTAAAAAGGAAAAGGGGATAGGGAAATAGCCAGAAGGTGGATGATGGGTATCAAAACACAATTGAGGGAAGAAAGTAGTTCTAATGTTCTACAGCATAATAAGGCAAATAAACTCTGCAACAATTACGCACTTCAAAATAACTACAGAAAAAGAATTTCAAGGTCCCCAACACATGGAAATTGAGGAGACAGAATGCTAATTATCCTGATTTGATTATAACACATTGTATCCATATGTCAAATTACAATACTCTACTCCATAAATAAGTACAAATATTACATGTTAATTAAAAATTAATTTTTAAAAAACTTTAGTTCCCTAATTATCTTCCCTGGCCCACTTTGCTCTTTAGGGGAGTCATCACCTAGCAAAGTCCTATCTTAAGGAATACATGATCCAATTATTCTGTACCTAGGCAAGCAAACCATGTGAGTCAGGAATAGAAAAGAGGGATAAGGCATGAATGGATGACATAGATGGACTGGAGAATAAATGGATGTATAGATGGATGGATGCATGGGTGAATGGGTGGATGGATGCATGGATGGATGGATGGATGGATGGATGGATGGATGGATGGGTAGGTGGGTGGATGTGGTCCTATCTCCCAGTTTTACATTTAAACATTAGAGCAGGTGTCATGACTCCAGAAGTTTTCCCCCCTGGCACCTTAGAGGAAGTTGAGCAGGACTTTTCCTGTTGCCCTGAAACAGGAACTAGGGCTCTGGCTGAGGACAAAGAGGACCTAGCTACACCACACTATAAGAGGAGCCGCAACAAAGGCCCCTCCCCTAGGACTTCCTAATCATCACCCCCACTCCAACCTCCCCCCACAAACACATGCAAAACCTTTTACAGTGTAATCTATGAAGAAAGGAGAGGGGATAGAACTGGAATTGAAAGTTTTCAACCTTGCGGGTCCTTGGTGAGGGGCATTTCTATACAAGATGAGAGAGAGATGAATGACATGCTTAGAACCACACGATCTATACAGAGACTACCACCCAGCAGCAGAGAGAGCCAAATGAAACTAGACCCAACCAAAGGACAATCAGGGATTTCTTCCTCCCTCTGACTCAGAAATCTAAGGCCTTGCCCCTCCAGCCCTTCTCTCTGAACCAACCCAGGAAGATTCCAATGGATCTCAACCAGGGCAGAATGCCCCTACCCCGGGAGGCAAATGGAAAAGTGGAGGGTGCTGGGAAAAGACTGAAGAGTAATATGGGAATGTATAGAGAGTAGAGGGGGAAGAAATATTAAATATTCTGAACTATGCAAAACAGCTCACCCAAAATGACATTGGCTAAAGAAACATATTGTTAGATCCAAGAGAGGGAGGAGGTGTGTATCTCAGGGCAGACTATTTCTCCATATCCCAACCCTGACTCTTACCTTCCACCACCTTCTCTATTCCCACCTGGCAGATTGCAGGAAGAGTGAAAAATCAGTTTTGACACTTGTGCCCCAAATCTTCCAGGCCTCAGCTCCAACCGGCAGTGGAAGAAGGCGATTAGTCTCAAATTGAATCTTGAGATTGGTGCTATAAACCATCATGGATTGAATTCTTTATAACTGAAAAAAAAGAGCAAAAAGATATGGAATCTGCCAAAGACATTAAAGAGAGGGAAGGGGCATTCAACTGAACGTGATAGAAGATAATAATGGAAAAAAATATGAACTTTTCATGTTTCTACCCCACTGAGTTAAAACCCGGTTTGCTCCCCCATAAAAGGGAGCAGGGTCATGGTTTTCAAAACACAGAGGAAGGAAGGTCACCCAGAATGTTTCTGTCTGCCTTACTGACCACTGGCAGATAAGCAGCTGCTCCTCACCCCACTTGGAAACTACATCCTGTTGCCACTGAGGGCCCTGGGTGGAGCCCCCGCCCTGCAGCCCTGGGGCTCTGACAGTTGGATGGCAAGCTCACAGGAGCCTCATACTGTGTCCCTGCTAAAGGATGACAATGGGAAAGTAACAATCAATGGTGAGGTGAGATTTTCCCCTGCCACAGACAGGTGCTTGATAACAAACCCCAATGTCAAATGACCACAAAGGGAAACTGCCCAGCTCAGAGTAAGCTGGGCTGGGATGAGGCAGCCTGGACAGCATCCACTTCTGATATAAATCAGAATTTCTTCTGAGACTCCATGTCTCCACCCCACTCAGGGCTGCCTCGGTTCACACAAACTGTATAGCTTTGAATCATGTCTTACCTTAGTATGTTTTTCTATCTGCCTGTCTTCCATTCCCTACATCCATACTTAGAGAAAAAAGTGACTGGAAAGTGCCCCTATGAACACCATGTCAAAATGCCCCTCCAAGAGAAAATGCCAATTGACACAGATTTTTGGAGAATCGTTTGACAATATCTGTTAAAATTTTAAAAATGCTTGTCCTCGGACTAAGCAATTCTCCTGAGCAGCTTAAATCATAATTATCAAACTTGGAAGCCATCAAGGTGTCTTTAAGTAGACAAATGGAAAAATAAACTTGGTACATAGACATTGAAATGATATTTAAATATATAGTGAGACTAAGAAATGAGCTATCAAGCCATGGAAGAAAGTTACTGCATATTACTAAATGAAACAAGCTAATCTGAAAAGACTGTGTACTGTGTGATTTCAAATACATGGCACTCTGGAAAAGGAAAAACTATGGAGACAGTAGGAAGATCGGTGTTTGCCAGGACCTAGGGGGAGAGAAGGGAAAAGTACAGAGGATTTTTAGGGCAGTGAAAACAATTCATTTGATATTATAATGGTGGATATAAGTCATTATACATTTATTTAAATCCTTGAATGTATAGCGCCACAGTGAATCCTCATGTAAACTGTGGACTTTGGGTGGTTCTGATATATTATTGTTGATTTTTAACAAGTATGCCACTCTGGTGGAGGATGTTACTAATGGGGAAGCTATTGAAGTACCAGGATAGGGGTTTATAGGGAATCTGTATATTCTTCTCAATTTTGCTATGAACCCAAATCTGTGCTTAAAAAAAAAAAAAAGTCTTTTTTTAAAAAAATCACATAATAAAAAAAAATACAAATTGGCACAGATTTTTATAAGATAATTTGACAATATTTATTAAAATGTTAAATGTGCTGAACCTCTGACCCAGTAATTCTTCTTCTAGGTATTTGTCCTGTTAGCCTTTATTCATAACTATTTCCAGTGCCTAGAGTCCTGAAATTGCACCAGGTATCTAGAGGGTGCCCAAAAACAAATATTACAAACTTAAATTACTAAATATGTATTTTTAAAAGATAAATCAGCAAGCAAATCAACACATGAGTTATGATTTCATCTAGGCTTATAAAAAGCATGAAGTATATTTTTCTGCTATTAGAAAACATATTTCAAATCAGGCATGGTGGTGCATGCTTATAATCCCAGCTACTCAGGAGGCTGAGGAAGAGAATCCCAAGTTCAAGGGCAGCCTCAGAATGTTAGTGAGACCTTCAGTAGCCTCATGAGACCCTGTCTCAAATTTAAAAAATAAAATAAAATAAAAAGGGTTGGGGATATAGCTCAGTGGTAAAGCACCCTAAGGTTCAATCCCCAGTATGGGGTGAGGGGATACTCTACATGATAAACCTTTTCAGTTCTCAGCACTTTATTGCAGATACAGAAGTCAGCATGCTGGCTACGTAAGGCCCCTCTCTTTTCTTATTTTATTCTATTGTACCTCCCTTTCCCTTTCATATCCTGCATATCCCACTTCCATTTCCTGCCCCATTCTGATTTTTAATAACATGTATCCTTGCATCTGTATGTAATATTGAAAGGTAAATGTTTATGCATTTTTACTTTATATCAGTAATATTGCATAAAATTTCATGGCTTTGCTCTTTCCACTATGTTGTTGGGTTTTTTTGTAAGATCAATCTGGGTTAAACTGTGAGTACGTCTAGTCTAGTTTATTGAATTTTGATTGCTGTGTACTATTCTAATGAGATGATCACATGATTTACTTGGCCATTCTTATTTTTTTTTATTCATTCTTATTGTGATGAACAAATTTCTTTCTTTTCTTTTCTTTTTTTTTTTTCTTTTTTTGTACCCAGGATTGAACCCAGGGGCACTTAACCACTAAGCCACATCCCCAGTCCTTTTTATATTTTATTTTGAAACAAGGTCTTTCTTGGTAAGTTTCTTAGGACCTTGCTAAGTTGCTGAGGCTGCTTTTGAACTTGCAATCCTCCTGCATTAGCCTCTCGAGTCTCTAGGATTGCAGCCATGCACCATTCTGTCTAGCTGTGATGAAGAAGTTTCTTGCAACTCTCTGTCGCCACAAATGATGCCACAAAAAAAAAAAAAAAATTTCTAAGTGATCTCTTATACATCTCTGCAAAACTATCTCTGGGCCATGTTACTAGGAAAGGGATATGGATCAGAAGGAATATGCATTCCTCCTCACTTCCCTAAGAAACGTCAGGTTGCTCAATGGGTTGTGCCAGCTCACAGGTTCACCAGCAGGACATGGGGTTTCTCATTCCCCATGAAATAAATTCTAAACACAACCAAATACAGTGATCTCCCTAGAATTTTGTTAATGCAAACTAAGCGTATTCTCTCTTCTGAGTAGCAGGAGTCATCTAATCAACCCACAACAACAACAACAACAAAAGTATTTGACCCAAGCTTGGACTTATTTGGCCAACACTTACAAGTATTGACCCTTGTGATTTTTTGTTAATCATCATAAAGTGGTATCTCATTGCCTAATGCGCAGTTGATTTCAACATTATTCATGTTTGTTGTATGTATTCTGATTTTTCTTTCTGGATATTTTAAAACTTTCTAATCTTTGTCTTAAGAATCCCTATTTTTGGCCCAGTATATCTAATTTATAAGTGTCCTAATCTCAATGGCCTTAAAGAATGGGTAAATGGCCAATATTGTCCATGTATTTATAATGGCGAATAGATTGAGAAGTCATTTGTCTTCTACTCAAATTTTTCATATAATGCTAAAATCTTTCCTACAATATCTCTCTACAGCATTAATTCAGTCTGCTTTAAAATACCCACTTCTTTATTATATGAGAAAATTTATAATATTAATGGGCATTTCCACTTGTTAGTATCCCTATGTTAATGCTGAGCACTTAAATTGTCCTTGCCACATCAATTGACACACAGTAGGGATAAATAAGTGGATTTTCCCTTCCTATTCATTCCAATTCCACTGTCTTGGGCTATAAATCCTCATTTTCTCATTAAATACCTGAAGGTAACCATTATACCTCTCTCTCAGTGTTCCCTTCCTCTGGCTTAGTATCTCAGGTCCACAATTCACCCCATAAATCAGATTTTCCAAACCACTCAATTTCCAATTGGTTATTTCAGCAAACACTCTGATCTAACAGTCCAGTAGTGTCCCTTAAAACATGGTGAACAAAAGTGGACCTCCAGATGAATTCCAAACAGAGCAAAGCAGAGTGGGCCCATTACACCTGTGTCTCTCCATAATTCTATTAATGAAGACTGAGGATGCTTCACCTCCTTAGCAGAAGCCACCTGTCAGCTCACTGAACTTGTGGCCAACTAAATACCCAGGGTCTTGTCCACACACATGGTTGCTTATACCTGTGGAACTAATCTTGGGGACTGGTTGGACAGTTCAGAGTGCAAAATGAAATTAAAAAATTTGGCTCAATCTGCCTTTCAAATGTTCTCCTCTAATTTAATTAACATTATTTTTCTCCCTTCTTCCCACATTCTGTTGCTATGTGATCAGCTGAACTTTGGAACTGAGTAGACCTGAATTCAAATCCCACCTCTGCCTCTGCCACCCAGAAAAAAAATTATTTATTCTTTCTGAACTTTCATTGCTTTGGAAATAGTAATTTTTACTTTATGGTAATGTGAAGTAAATGTAACGAAGATTAAATGAGATGTAACATTATGAAATGCCCAACATGTAGAAAGAAGCCCCTGAGCATGCTAATTCCCTTCTCCTGATTCCTTTCCTTTTCTGTCTAGATCTCAGAAGGGAAAAGAAACAATTCCTCCCAGGTATGACTAGACTCCTAATTCTCACAGTAAAGTCTACCCATCCGCTCTCATATTTCCTCAATTTGGTGCTCTCTTGTATAAAACACATCAACTGATCCAAGGTAGTGCAGGAATAAGTCACAGTGGATCAAGGTGTTCCTCTCCCGGGCAACATCTTCAGCTTCCCGAAAGTTTCCCAGACTCTCCGTGCCTCCATGCTTTCAGGATCAAAGTCAGAATGTATGATACACAGATAAAAGGGATTCTCCTCGCCTTAATGGTTTGATGTTAGCACGGTGTGGCTGTGATATGCATCAGTAGGAATGGCAGAGATGATCATCAGAGAGAGAAAGCCACACTACTCTGACGGCACCATGGTAGTGAGGAGTTTTATAGGACCAGAAGGGTCCCAGAGTCTTTAGCATCAGACACGGTTGCACAGAGCTGCAGCCACATGTTTACAATCACCTGAGATCCCTTTGCACTTTTGCAAAACTTATGGAAGGAAAGATGAGGTCTGCATCAAACAGTTTTTGTGTCCCTTCCCATTCTCATCAGCCCTCCTGATTTCATTCAGCACAGCCATGGTGGGCAGCTTTGTGTGCTGTACTGGATTCCAACTCAAGTTCCTCACAACGTCCAGCAATCCTTCTTTATCTACAAGGAATATGTTCTAAGGCCCATCCACTTGGGTGCCTGGAACTATGGGTAGGTCTGAACTCTATAGATGCTATGTGTTTTCCTACACATACATCCTTGTGACAAACTTTCTCCTTTTCACCTAAAGAAAGCACTTCATAGGGGCTGAGGATGTAGCTTGGAGGTGGAGCACTTGCCTAGCATATGCAAGGGCCTGGATTCAATCCCCGGCAATACAAGAGGGAAGAGAGAGAGAGAGAGAGAGAGAGAGAGAGAGAGAGAGAGAAATAACTTTATGGCTTCTCTTTGGCATATCTGAATTCCCAGCATCACTACTCTTGCACTCCGGGGCCATCGTTAAGTAAAACAAGAGACACATGAACACAAGCACTGTGATACCATGACTATCAACCCAATAATCAAGATGGCTACTAAGTGACTAATAGGCAGGTAGCAGATACAGCATGGATACAGTGGACAAAAGGCTATTTCATGTCCCTGGAGGGATGGAGTGGAATAACATTTCTTCATATTACTCAGGCATACAATTGGAAATTTATGAATTGTTTGTTTTTGGAGCTTTCCATTTAATATTTTTGGACCAGAGTTGATAGAAGGTAAATAAAATTGCAGAAAATAAACAATAGGTGAGAGTGATTACTGTGTATCTCCAGCTTTTCTGCTGGGGTATTTTCTCTGAAGGCAAGGAAGGCCACTGAGCCCATATGTAGCCACAGTCTTAAAGAGGATAATTAACACCCCCCGATAGGTGACTATCAACCAATGGGACATGAAAGTATGTAGGTAAATATCCCAGCTGCCTGCCCATTAGAAGAAAAATCCTGAGGTATCTTCTGCAAAGTTCTTCAAAACATTTCTAGTGGGATCAAGTCCCAGTTGCCCACTGAGGCAACCAGTTCAATGGTGTACCTTTACTGAATTTTCTTACTTCCTTGTCTCCTCCTCCCTAATCCCTCATTGTGCTCCCTGGAATGATCTTCCCAATACTGCTTGCACCTGGTACGTATCCCAGACTCTACCTCTGAGATATGCAACCAAGGTTTTATATCAGCTAGAGAAATTAGAGGGTTCTTTTGTCTCTATTCATATGACACTACTTTATCTTCAGGTAGCTATGGCTTGAGAAAGAGAATTCTTAAATGTTACCTGGGAAAAACACTTGGTTATTTTCCAACACCCCCACACATACTTCTACTGCCAAAAGAATTAATTGTTCTTTCTTCTGTCATCCTTTAGCATCTCGTACATGCTCATATTTCATCATTTCTAACATTGTAACCCAATTATTTGTTAAACATCTGTCACCCGCTAGATCATAAAAAGCTATGACTAATTCAATTTTGTATCTTCACTTCAACAGACCCAGTAATAGTATTCAGTGAGCACTGGTGAATAAGTCAATTCTAAATGATAGTGAATTGACTGCCAGTTCATGCTGTCAGACTGAAAATATTTATTTCCTTTTACTTCTAAACTCCACTCAAACCATAGAAAAACAAAATGATATGAACTCACAATAACCAAGAAAACATTTCAGGGATCACACATGCCCAAGAAAGTCTGACATATTTTTGGAAGATGAAAAACATATGAAAGTCCAGTGACTGATGAAAGAGAAAAAGAAGCCACTTCTTGGGATTTAGCTTTAGCGAGGGTTAGATATCATAGGCTGAAGCAAAAGGAAATAAATATACTCAGCCTATCAGCATGAACTGGAAATTGCCTCACCACCTTTTGGGATTTACTGATCCACCAATATTTATTGAATATGTACTATATATAACAAGGTGCTGGAGTAGGCAGTGGAGCTACAAAATCAAATTCAGTTTGATAGTATTGGGTTGAGAATTTCTGTTCATCAAGAACATTGGCCTGAAATTTTCTTTTCTTGTAGTGGCCTTGTCTGACTCTGGCTAACTATAATGCTGGCCTCATAAAGTCAGTTTGGAAGTGTTAACTTCTCTTCATAACTTTGGGAAAATTTTGAGAAATATTGGTATTAGTTCTTCTTTATGTTTGATAGAATTCACCAGTGAAACCATCAGGTCCTGAACTTTTCTTTATTGGGAGGTTATTGATTACCGATTCAATCATTGGTTGTTCGAAAGTGCATTGTTTTGTTTCCATGTTCATCACTTTCTAATTTTTTCTTTTTACTCATTTCTAATTTCATACTATTGTGGTGGGAAGAAAATGACTGATATGATTTCAATCAAAAAGAAACCAAAATGTCCAGGAATACAAATCATATTTCAGTAATAACCCTGAATGTGAATAGCCTGAACTCATCAATTAAAAGTCATAGGTTGGCAGATTGGATTTAAAAGAAAAAAAAAAAAAAAGACCCAACAATACGTTGCCTTCAAGAGACTCATTTCACAGGAAAAGACATCCACAGAGTGAAGGTGAAAAGGTGGGAAAAAAACATACCACTCACATGGACCATGTAAACAAGCAGGGGTTTCCATCCTCATATCAGATAAAGTGGTCTTCAAACCAAAGCTAGTGAAAAGGGATAAAGAAGGACATTTCATACTGCTGAGGGATTCCTACATCAACAAGACGTAACAATCATAAATATCTATGACCCAAACAATGGGGCATCTATGATATACCAAACAAACCTTCTCAACCACAAGAACCAAATAGAACACAACACAGTAATGCTGGATGACTTTAATATAACTCTTTTATTAAGAGCTGTTTTGTGGTCCAGAGTATGATCTAGTAACATTTTGTTTGTACTTGAGGAAAATGAGTGTTTTGCTGTTGTTAAATGGAATGCTCTATATATGTCTGTTTGGTCCATTTGGTCTACAGGTTCATTCAAGTGCACTGTTTCTTTATTGGTTTTTCTGCCTGGATGATCTGTCCATCACTCAACATGGGGTATTGAAGTTCCTACTGCTATTGTTTTACTCCCTATTTCTCCCCACAGATTTCTGAATATTTGCTATATATAGTATGTGCTCCAATGTTGGGTTCATATATATTTTCAATTATTATGTCCTCTTAAAGAACTGAACCTTTTAGACAATTAAAGGCAGGGAAGGGAGCTGGGGAGGGAGGAAGAAAGAGGGGAGGACAAAAATGGATAGCCGAAGGGGAGGTAGAAATGAGGAATGCCCAATATACATGCAAGTATATATATGAAGCACATTAATTTGTACAATTAATGTATGTATTCATAAATAATAAAAAGAAAAAAGAATTGACCCCTTTATTATTATAATACAATAAAATTGCTTCCTTCTTGTGATGGTGTTTTATTTAAAGTACATTCTCTCTGATTTAAGTATAGCCACTCATGTTGTCTTTTGGTTTTCATTTGCATAGAATATCTTTTTCTACCCCTTTTCATCTTATGTGTTTTTAAAGCTAAAGAATATCTCTTACAGACAGCATAGTGTTAAATCTTGTTTTTTTAAATTTATTAATTCATTCAACTACTCTATGTCTTTTATTGGATAATTTAAACCATTTACATTTAAAATAATTACTGACAGGTAAGGACCTACTCTTACTCTTGCCATAATGTTAATTGTTTTCTGACTGTTTGTAGTTCCTTTGTTTCTTCTCTCAACTCTGGCTATTTGTCTTCATGGTCTTCTTTTTTTATAGCACTGTGCTTTGACTCCTATCTCTTTTTGTTATGTGTGCTCGAGATTTTTTCTTTGTGGTTATCATAAGGCTTTTATAAAACATTTTATAGTTATAACAATCTAAGTTCATAGCAATTTAACCTCCATTATACACAAACTCCACATTTTTACTTCCCCACATATAAGGTATGTTAGAGATGCATGATTTACACCTTTAATAGTATGTATATATTAACTAATTATTTTACCTATACAATCATCTATCACACAACGATAGGGATATATTCTGACAAATGTGTCATTAGGTAATTTCATTGTGCTAGATAATTTCTTTTTTATTGTGAAAACATCATAAAGTGTTCTCATATAAGCTGAGATGGCTACAACATCACTAGACAATATAATTTTATGGAACCACTGTTGTATATGCAGTCTATCAGTGACTATATAATGATGTATAGTCATGTACATCATTATATCGTACATGACTGTGATTATTTTTAATATTTTTTCTTTTAATTTTAATACTATAATTAAAAGTGACTCGTGCACCACCATTAAAATATTTAATTATTCTGACTCTGACTATATATTTACTGCTAATAATAGCTTTATGTTTTTGTTTCTTTTCATGTCACTAATTAACATATTTTGGGTTCAACTTGAAGTATTCACTTTAACCTTTCAAGGCAAGATTAATGGGATGAAATTCCTCAGCTTTTCTGTCTGGGAAAGTCTTTATCTCTCCTCCATTTCTAAAGGATAACTTTGCCAGTCATAGTATTCTTGGTTGGCAATTTTTGCTTATTTTTTTTCAACATTTGAACATAGCATCCCATTTTCTCTTGTCTTGAAAGTTTTCTGCTGAGAAATTCATGTAAAGACTGATGGAGGGAAGTTCCCTCATATAGTGCAAGTTTCTTTCTCTTCCTTCTTTCAAAATTCTGTCTTAACTTTTGATGATTTGCTTATAATACATCTCAGTGAGATCTTTTTTGGGATCATCCTACTTAGGGTTATTTGAGCTTAGTGTGCCATTTCATCTCTATGAGATATTCATGTCTCTTTCAAAATTTGAGACATTTTCACTCATTATTTTTTGAAATAGGATTTCTTCTCTCTCTCTCTCTCTCTCTCTCTCTCTCTCTCTCTCTCTCTCTCTCTCTCTCCTTCTTTTGAGACTCTCATAATGTATATATTAGTTCACTTCATAAATCCCATAGAATTTCTTCACTTTTCTCATTATTTATTATTGTTCTCCTCTGATTATGGTATTTTAGTCAGCTTTTTTACTTCTGTGACCAAAAGTTCTAACAAGAACAATTGAGAAGAGGAAAAGTTTTATTTGGTGCTCATGGTTTCAGAGGTCTCACTCCAGTTGGCCAACACCATTGCTCTGTGTTTGAAGTGAGGCAGAACATCAGGGCAGAAGGGCATGATAAAGGAAAATAGCTCAAGACGTGACAGTCAAGAAGCAGAAAGAGACAGCTCCACTTACCCAGAACAAAATATATACCTCTAAGGCACACCCCCAGCAACACGTCTCCTCCAACCGCATCCTACCTGCCTACAGTTATCACACCATAAATCCCTATTAGTAGATTAATGCACTGAATAGGTTAAAGCTTTCATAACTCAATCATTTTACTTCTAAACCTTTTTTTGCATTGTCTCACACATGAACTTTTGGGGGACACCTAATATCTAAACTATAATACTATGATTTTTAAATAGCTTCACAAATTCTTTCTCTGCTTAATCAGTTCTACTTTTGAAGACTTCTATTACATTTTTTATATCACACATTTCATTTTCCAGTATCAGATTCTGTTTGATTATTTTTGGTGATTTCTGTCTCTTGGTTGATCTTTTAGTTTTGTTTATGTACTCTTTTCCTGGTTTTGATGAGTTTTCTTCATCCTCTTATAGCTTATTGATCTTTCTTAAAAACATTTTTTTTTATTCTTTGCCATGTAATATGTAGTTCTCCATTTCTTTCAAGTTGATTACTAGAAAATCATTGTGTTCTTTCAGTAATGTCATGTCTTCTTGTTTTGTGTGTGTGTGTGTGTGTGTGTGTGTGTTCCTTAAAAACTTGCATTGCTGTCTTTGCATTTGAAGAAGCAGCCACCTCGTCTAATCTTTATTAACTGGCTTCAAGAAAGACGGGTCTTCACCAGCCAGCCTAGCTAGGTATTCTGAGGGTCTCTCAGATCTTTTCTTTGGGTACATCTGCCCCATTCCTCTTGTTCCTTCTTCAGAGGCACCTTAGGATTGTATACATTCTTTCAATTGCTCAAAACTAGGCTAGGTCCTGTGAGACTCCTGTTTATTTTCTGTAGGACAGTGCTCTGAAATGTTCAAGATTAAATGGCTTTTCCCAATCCTGCAGAGTTGACCCCTGTCTGCATATTCTTTCACATGATCTACAAAAGCTTGCACACAGTATCTGTTGGGACACAAATGGGGTGCCAGCTTTAGCAAGAAGGAAGTATAGCATGCTTGGGTACATGGTGGCCAGTTGAGAAGGGGCTTCATGATGCATCCTATGAGGTTTGAGGCAAAGCCTCTTGGTGGACTTCATGAGGCAAATAGTAGAAACAATGGCCTTTTGTTGAATTCCACTCCTTGTTTGCTGTGAGACCCAACCCTTTTCCCTGCTCCTAGCTACCTCCAGATATTTAGCTATGCTGATTCTCTCAGTGATCTGGGTGAAAAAAAGATAAATTGGACCCCTAGGGCAGCACCCTGCATGCTGGGGAAGCCAGGTGCTCACTTTGCTCTCACTTTCCCCTATAGGAGAAATTGCAGTCCTGGGGGTCTCTTGGCACTAAAGTGTGCTGCCTTAGTGGAGGGGTGATGTAGGTACAATGAGACTTGGTTTTGTTTGTTTGTTTTCCACCCTCTTCAATATGTCTATTCATGGGTTTTGTGTCACAGAGTGTGCTAGAATCTTACCACTGTATTCTCTGGGCTCCCACAAAGGTTCTCTAATGCACAGGTGGTTGTCAAAATATGTGTATGGGAGGTGAGGGCTAAAAATCCTATTTCTATATTGCCAACATCACCTTATGCCTTCAAATTTGAGAAGGAAGATTATTTTCAGTGTAGAATTTGATAGCATGTAAGCAATTACAAAAGAACTACAAAAGTCATCTAAAGATACATCAAAGAGAAGGTATGCTTAAGAAGTTACATGAGCATATACTTAAGCAAAAAAAAGGGAATAAAAAAGAAATGGAAGTTTAAATTTATTTTTAAGGTTAGATATAGAGATGTAACTATGTTGAGAGGAGAATCACAAATAAGTTAAGGATGTAAGTGAACTAAATTAATGTTGACATCAATAGCAAATTTCTAAATTGGATATATTAAGAGCAATTTCTATTAAGTACATTTTCTAGATTAAGACAGGTCCCTCAAAAGAATCCAAAGTAGAAAATGTCCAAAGTGGTTTCTTCTGGAGAGGGGATTCTGAGTGTGAAGCAGTGGATCCAAGAATTGTGTCTTCTAATCACAAGCCCCTTGTACTATTTTATTCGTTTAGCATGTGCATCAATCACTTTAATTATTTTTATGTTTAAATATTTGACAAGATTTAAGAATGCCCCAGATTATGAGCATTATTTATCAATGCACTGATACGTCGCTGAAGTACCAGTTAATAAGTCATTCAGATAATTAGAGTGCCTCAGTCTTTCATCTCTAAAGTGGAGACATTCTGGCCTGCTTCAGGGAGGCTGTGGGTTATTGTGTGAACCACACTTACCATGCTGCCTGCCTGTCCTCAGCTCCTGTGAGTGGAAGCTCTTGCTCCCAGAAGACAGAAGCTAGAATTGTTTATATGAATCTTAACTCTGCCACTTACTACCACCTGTT